TTCTGGGAGTTGAAGTCCACTCATCTTAAAGTGGCCAAGTTTGGACAACACTGTATTAAAGCATACCTGTGTGCCATCTCTGTTCAAGAGCAAAGCTTTAACATTGTCTGTGTGTCCCTTGAGTTTCATAAGCTTTGCACAGGTCCTTGGATCCCATACCCTTAAAACCTGTTAGAAAAAAACTTTAGAAATTAGTACCACTTCTGAAGTAAAGGCATTAAACTCATATATTCTTACTTTGCTTGAAATAAGGTTTTCAAAAGCCATTCACATTAATGTTAATACTATGAGACGCTACTGATTTCAAAACCTTTAAATGTTAGATCTTTTAGAAAAACAATGTTATTGACTGGGGACAGCTGCCATCCTGAATTTCTTTAAAGTAAATGGTTCTTTGCTATCCTTTTATATACCTACACACCTTCCTCACCCAACCGAATCTGCCACATATACATTAGTATAACATTGCGCTGTTTGGTAGGGAGACTGAGATGACAAGGAGAGACTGAGATGACTTACGAAGGAAAAAATTATAGAATCACCTTTGTTGCTTACCTATAATAAGTTATGAAATTATACCATATTGAGTCAAATCACTAGACCAGTGTTTCCCAACGTCAGCAACTTTAAGATGTGTGGACTTCAACTCACAGAATTCCCCAGCCAGCTGGGGAATTCTGGGAGTTGAAGTCTACACATCTTAAAGTTGCTGACATTGGGAAACATTGTGATAGACCATGTAGTTCAGCCTGACAACATCACAGTCTTTTCTTCCCAGCTCTACCTGGATATTTTAGGGATTTGGCAGATGCGCTCAGCATACAAAATTCTGCTCTACCTCTGAGCTGTGGCATTTCCTCACAACAGTTACATTGCTGGAAGACATTCAGAAGAAAAGCAGTAACACTGGCAGGTAGGATACTGTCTTTCATTATAATGCATCTGGTTCCAATGAAAACTTTGATGGACTAGATCAACGGTCTATTTGATTGAGTCAAATGCAATCCTTGCATAGCACGGGGGTGGCAAGACCAGGATTATTTGATCAGAAACGGCCTAGATTTAAGTTTGTTTAAGGAATATAATGTAAAATCTTGCTGCCACCATTCTGAAACTATAAATTTGGAATCCTTATACTGAAATTGTCTACTCTTCTGTGGGTTCTTTCCCTGGTAACACAGGAACTTAGGTGTACGTGTCTGGGGAGAGTTAGTTATAGTTCTTCTCACTTACTCAGTGCATTAGTGGCTGGCCAAAATGGAAAGAGAATGCATTTGAGGAAGTCCAAAGGAAACAGCAGATCGAAAGGATTAGAGTGGGAGATCCTACAACCACCCACCTCTAGCATACAGACTGACAATTTTTCCCGTTATACTGGATAGTAGAGCTCCTGAATTTGTTCCGTAGCTGTCTACAAACTCCATTAGCAATTATTTCGGCAGCTCATTTCATCCTGTGGGGATAGGATGTCTAAATTGTGCTTACCTTTTCAGTGGACCCGGATACAATTACTGTTCCCATCTGATTCATAGCAAGACTGTAGATTGAGTCTTTGTTCCCACTCAGGGAAGAAGCTATTGGACACAAATACAACACCCTTTGAGATAAAGCACTTCAGGATGTTGGAGAAAAAAAATCAAACTTGAAACAACAAATTTAACAGCAAGAAAATAGATACATCAGCCTGCAGCTATATACAAATTTTAGAATATTAAGGATTTAGAAATGGCTTACAGAAGGGATTCTTCAATAATGCTGTTCACTGTATTTCAATTGCAAGATATCTTTTTGGGTAGAAAAATTCCAATTTATGTTAGTTGTGTTGCACTTATATGATTACCAGAACCTGCAGAATTCCAGTCTTACATCACACTTAAGATGTCAATCTAATACTATATTTTTTATTTTATTCAAAGAAAATGGCAGTCAACCAGACTTTCAAAGAAACAGCAGCTCTTCCCCAGAGCTGCTGTTACCCAAGGGGTAACTGGGCTATCATTCAAGATAAATGCAAGGGGAAAATGGTTTTTCATGCTCTGACCAATTTTCAGGGATTCAGTACAGAGGCCTTCCTGCTGTCCTTTTCTGAAGGACACATGATCACTCCTAAAAAAACCCTGCATTTGCATTTTAGATGAATTATTTGACAATCATAGCATGCCTTACACAAACCAGCATGGGTTTATTTCTGGATACTTACTTGTGACTGTGTTATTTGAGGCAGTCAGTGCAGTTAGTGTATTTACATCCCAGAGGAATATCTGTCTGTCCAGCCCAGCAGATGCTACCAATTCTTTGTCTTTTGCGTAGGCCAAAGCTTTCACATAATCCTAAGACAACACAGAGAAATGTGGCAAATAGAACTAAGTACCAGGGTGCTGATATGGTACCACAAATATTATTTACTGCATTTTTCTACTTTACCTTATGAGTTCTTAGGGTTGACATGCAAAACCCCTTATGTGCGTTCCATACTTTAACAGTAGTATCAGATGAAGCCGATATCACTATAAAAAGATAAAATGGACTGTTTTTCTTGATGGCAAGAAACAAGAGAAATTTGTTTACCATTAAAACACAGAATTACTATTATTGATAACTGCTCTAATAAGGTCATATATATAATATCTTATATATATATAGAAATATATATAAGAGCTAATTAATGGAAACATACCTTTGGAACTCTATCTCTGGAGGAATTCAACACCTGATTTTTTCCCCTCAGAATTGCTAATACCAGGGAAACACTTCTGTTGTTTTGGAGATTCCTATTTCAACAGGCATTTTATTTTCTGATGCTTTATGCCACTTGGCAACACTGTTATTTTAAAATGTTTTTGCAGCTTTATTTTTCTAGTATATTAATATCACTAGGAAATGGCTTCCAGTATGTTTGTGAAGAAGTATATTAAAGATCATATATTAATTGGAATTTTACATGACTACTACAAATTAAAACAGGGCCTTTGAATGCAGGGCGAAAGATTATGCAAATACCAAGCACTGAGATAACTGACACACATCATTCTATTGCATCATATAGTATTCAAAAGGTTACTTACAAGTTTTACCATTGCAGCAAAGTACAATATCATTCACCCAGTCTGTATGATGCTCCATAGATGCTATATAGGGGTCTTGCTGGAATTAAAAACAATATTTTGAGTTCTAATCCTGTGTCATAAGAATTCTCTTGAGATTGTTATAACAAGAGACGGCTTTGTCTATATTTCAGAACTACTATGTTAGCAATCACTGCACCAACTGCCAACAAGTTCAGGATCCAGTTTAACTGTTTCAGCTACATTTTAATCCATGGAAATACGGGATTGTGATTAGTTGAAGAACTGTTCCTGATAAGTGTCAGCCCCATGGCCCATCTGCAGCTTCTTCTAGTCCCACCCTTTCTGAATGGGCTGGGTAAGTACAAAATAACAGAAGAGATGATCACATACCATCCATGTAAAAGGATTAATAGTTGGGAGCCATGCTGGGAGCCAAAACTGGCTGAAAAGGGGAGGACATTCAACGACATTTTGTTTCAACCCGTTAGGTTGGCCTTACTGAGTGGGTTTAGGCTAAGTTATGATTTAATCATGGTTAGCTCAAATGCCCAGACTGAAATTCTTTTTCTAAGCAAATAGCTGAAAATCTGAGAAGATTTTTAAACTAAACACACACACACACACAAATGTAAGAGAAAACGTTTGTAATACTTGCAAATACAACCCAAAACCTATTATTTAATGATGTAAACAATTTTCATTAGCTAATCTGACTATATGCCTAATAGCGAGAACGTGTATTTGTAAAGTACATTCCATGCTTAGTTTACCTTGTGTTGGTTTACACTCCATATCCTGATGATGGAATCTCGACCTGCGGTAAAAAGTCGGTTCAAAGCTGGATCCAGCTGTAGTGCATTTACCCCATTGCGATTGTATTTCTCCACCTCATCTCTAATTACGTAAGAGACCTAAAATATTTGACATAAATCCAACAGAAGCATTAAGGAACTATAAGCAGAAGCATCATTCTGTTCAAGCTATTCATGCTCAACAATGCCTCCCTTTCATTTAAAAAAAATGAATTCCTGTCTCCTATTAGGAATGTACAAAACTCACCAATTCAGGAATGGATCATTCTAGATAATTCGGGAATGTTCTATTCCCCTTCGATCATGCTGAATCTTCTCAGCATGGTCCAGTGGGGGAACAAAATGTTCCTAGATTGTTGAGCCTACAACTCAAACTCTATTAGGTCAACAAAGTGAAATTTGGCCCTTTCAAGCTGTATTGTTTCAAGAATTCCAGATTTGTTCTAGGCACTGAAACTGGAGTTTTATTTTATAACCTGGGCTTGTTTTATTTTTTAAAATCTAGATTAGCCAGTACACCAGCAGGAACAATAATTAAGATATACCTTCCAGGTTGTGCATCTATGATAAATCCCTAAGTCAAGTTTATTTTAAATAAAAAGCCCCATGGTATTTCATCAAGCCCACACGATCTGCAGATGGTTTAATAGTGGGAGAATCTTCACCTGCTTGAAGCAGAACACTCCAAGAGCTTTCACCAGGTACATTTTTCTGACCTGTACTTCTCACATTGTTACAGGTGTATGATCTCTGGGGAAAAAAAACCCTGTGACATAGAGGGTCTGTTCCTAGGCACTCCATCTCACTCCTCTTATCATCTATGTTTTCATGCTGATTCCCAAAATATAATTAGCATTCCTTGCTCACAAAGGAATTTCAGTTCACACTGGGCTTTAGAGAATTGTAATTAAAAAAAAAAAACTTCTACAAATATTGGTATTCTCGTCCCATTCCCAGTCTACAAATACAGTCCCTTTGTGTGGGGACAGTGTGGTCTTGTTACATAATGACAGCACTGAGTTCATTAACATCTATGATGACCAAAAGAAATATGAGATATTTCACAATTTTACTCAATTTCTTAAATCTGAGACATGATAGATGGATGAGGCTATTTTGTTTTGTAGATATAATTATGACTATAGCAGTATATTGCATAATATGGAGAGAAGCCATTAGTCCCATTTCTTCCAGCATAAGTGTTTGAGAACAACAAAGTAGCTTGCTGATGAGAAAAATCATTGGCAATATGAAATTTTCTAGCTATTGAAGAGAGATCTCAAAGTCACATGATCATTTTATGGTTATTAGTAGAATGTTTTAAATGCATCCCGCATTATCTACAGCTTTGGTGAGCAATGGATTTTATCAGAAAAATGCAAGAGGAACTAGACGCAAGCAGAGGCTTCAAAGTGCCGACTAGCCTACTCATGCTTCATTCCCTGTAGTCTTTCTCTAGCGGTCCTCTAGCAGGTGCAAAAAGGGATACGTACAAATCTCTGTTCCTTGCAGAAGGACATTTACACTTGCTAGGCTTAATGCTTATCATCAACTGTGCTGGAGTGACAACTTCCCCTTCTGCCCTTGCACAGAGAGTGTATGGGAAGCTACATTATACCATACATGGTTCTCAGTATTAACATCCCGCCTTCTTGTTAATCACTTGGGGTGCTTTATGGAAGAGAATAGACTCTTTTTATTACAGAACAATCTGTGATGGAGATTTTTGTCTTGAGGTTGAAGCCAATAAACGCAACAGAACTATATTTGCATTGTCTCTTGGAGTTCTTTGGGCTGAACCTGACATTAATCTCACCAGACTGAACCCAAGTTCCAAAGCCAGCCAGTCACAACACCGTGAATTCCTTAGGGAGGTGCCAGCCTCATCTTCTTGAAC